AAGGAAGAATTGGTGCCATTTGACTCAACACCCTACTGCTCCACATCATCATATGATGCTGCTTCCTATTTATTTCATGAAGTTATTCCTGCTCTCCATTCCTTGAATATTACTGTTGAACAGGTGCAGAAGAAAACTCATGATATCTTTGCTGCTTGTTTTTGTATTTTGTAGGAGGAACTTTTCCATATAATACCATGCTTACTGATACTTTATATGAAAGTTTTTCTTTTCTATTCAAATTTCAATAAAATTCAACAGAAGGTGTAGTTACATAAAATATAGCACTCTAGGCCATCCTTTGTTTAAGAGTGCCCCCTCCCAAATGATTATGCAATTCAAGTATCACCAGCTTCTGTTTACTATTTACATTGTACAAACTGTAGTTACATGCAGAATCTGGAAAAGGACAATTTGAGATGGTGCTGGGGCACACTGCTTGTATGCATGCTGCTGACAACTTGATTTATACCCGTGAAGTTATTAGGGCGATTACAAGGAAGCATGGGTTGTTGGCAACTTTTATCCCAAAGTAGGTTCCTAATTTTTCCCTACGTATGCTAGATGCTTATATCATTGCAAAAAGAGGTTTAAAATTGGCCCAAAAGAATTTTTGGATTTTAGAATTTTGTGTGAAGGTGAATTCTGGCCTATGGAGACTCAATGTTTAACTTGGCTGAACACTACTTCTTACCTGACAGCTGATGAGCTGTAGGTCTGTAGAAATTTTTGTCCTTCGATGTCCATATTACTCTACATAACTTTGTGGTATTTGGGCAGGTATGCTCTAGATGAGATTGGCTCTGGAGCCCATGTGCATATCAGTTTGTGGCAGAATGGACAAAATGTATTTATGGGATCTGGTGGATCCTCTCGGCATGGAATGTCCAAGGTTGGGGAGGAATTCTTGGCAGGGGTTTTACATCATCTTCCAGCAATTTTGGCATTTACAGCACCAATTCCAAATAGGTGCTCCTATTTATCCCTGAATTATTGTATTTATCGTTGTTCTTGCGAGCAACTGTTTCACCATCTTGTTATGCAATTGAGTAGGAAATAGCATAGCTGAGACTGCCTTCTCATACTTTTTATTCCGCTTGAAAAATGCTTGGATTGGACTATCCTCTCTTATTTTCAACCATTATCAATGTGTAGTTATGACCGGATACAACCTAACACATGGACTGGAGCATACAAGTGCTGGGGAAAAGAAAACAGAGAAGCTCCACTAAGAACTGCATGCCCACCTGGAATTCAACATGGTTTGGTGAGCAACTTTGAGATCAAATCATTTGATGGGTGTGCAAATCCACACTTAGGCTTGGCTGCAATACTTGCTGCTGGCATTGATGGTCTTAGGAATCATCTTTCTCTCCCTGAACCTGTTGGTAAGATGACACGATAATCCTTGACGTTTTAATTTCTTTTCATTCTCTGTCTACTATTTGAAGAAATTTTTTCCATAGAGGTTATGGTCTTTCTTTTCAAGAATGTTAGATACTGTGGTCTAACATCTTAGTAATATTTCTTCATTGAACAGATACAAATCCTTCTAGCCTTGACGCAGAACTACAAAGGTTGCCAAAATCACTTTCTGAATCTTTAGAAGCTCTAAAGGAAGACAATGCCTTCACAGATTTAATTGGTGAAAAGCTATTGGTCGCCATAAAGGGGATCCGCAAGGTACATTTTGGATGTAATTTTTTAAATGCTGACCTATTAAATGATTTCAACCATTACAAAATGTCCTCGAAAACAGTAGCATGCCTTTCATTGAAATGCTTATAACGATGCTTTTCACAATTTGTTTTGTTTGCAGGCAGAGATCGATTACTACTCAAATCACAAAGATGCATACAAGCAACTCATATACCGCTACTGAGTTTATTGTCTTCTCATCATCCCGTCTTCGGTCTGGCTCTGTTTGTGTACTTGCTTGAGTTGCCTTCCACGTTACGTAAATAAATTAAGAATAATGTAACCACAGGGATGAAAACAAGTAACTTAAATAAAATTACTGCCTTTTTGTACCATAAAAACTTATATGCAGCTTTTGAGCTTAGTGGTTCATTGGCCGTAATTGTACAAGAAGCTAAATAAAAACATTCACGTCATGTTTGTTGATTTTATTTATTTATAGAAACTACTGTCTTCAAATCTAAATAATTTTCCTTGTGAAATAATAGCAGCTGTGAAATAACCGTCCATGGCCAATGTAGTCTAGTCCATTGGAAAAGGGCATTGACTTGCAAACTAGGGGTTTCAAGCATCTTCACGCTGTGTCTTTGCTGGCGGGTATCCGGTTGGCTGTGGAGTTGAATCTCCAACGGGTTTGTTTCGAGTGCGGCTCCGCCAAGCTTGCTATAGCTGTCTCGCAAGATACCT